GGGGTGCGCTGGCCTCTCGCCAGGCTCCGTGGGGAAACGCTCGCCTGCCGTGACCCCGAAATCGTTGGGGTTGGTTTTGCTCCCCCGAAATCGTGGGGGTTTTTTGTGCCCCGGAATCGTTGCGGATTGTTTTTCCCCAAAATTGTGGGAGTTTTGCTCCACCAACATTCTTGTGTTTTTTTCCCTGAGGTTGTTGAGGGTTTTTACTCCCCAAACTGTTGGGGGAGGTGTTTTTTTGGCACCCCATAATCGTTGGGGTGGGTTTTTTGGCTCCCCGAAATCATTGAGGTTTTGGGTTCTGCCCCCAAAATGGTTGGGGGAAAATTCTAGGGCCCCAGAATTGTTGGGTGGCTGGTTTGGGTTTTTTTGCCCCCCAAAATGGTTGGGATTGGGTTCGCTGCCAAAATCGGGGCAGCAGGGTTCTGCGCCCAAATTTTTTTTTTCCCCAAAATTGTTGAGGGGGGGTCCCACAAAATCATTGTTTTACTTTTTCCCCAAAAAATTGCTGGGTGGGTTTTTTTGCCCCCAAAATGGTGATGGTGATTGGGATGCCCCTGAATTGTTGTTTTTTTTCTTTTTTCTCCTCAAAATCATGATTGATTTTTTTTTTTTTTCCTCAAAAATCATTGGGGGGGTTGTTGACCAAAAAAATTTTTGGTGTTTTGGCTTTTTTGCCCCCAGAATTGTTGGGGTGTCCTCCCCCCCCCGAAATCATTGGGCTTCGAGGATTTTAGCCCCCGAAGTTGCTGAAGTTTGGCGAGGTTTTTTTTTTTGCCCTGCAAATCGCTGTAGGGATTGCCCCCGCCAATTATTGGTGCGTTTTGCCCCCCAAATCCTTGTTTTTCACCCCAAACGGGCAGGTACGAGCAGAGCGAGTGGGGCTGGAAGGAGCGGGAGAAGCGGGAGGAACTGCGGGACGACCGAGCCTGGTACCTGATCGCCCGCGAGCCCGGCGCTGGCCCCGTCGCCTTCTCCCACTTCCGTTTCGACGTCGAGTGCGGCGATGAGGTTCTCTACTGGTGAGTACCCTCAAAAATGGGGTAAAAAAACCCCGAAAAAGGGTCTCCCCCCACTTTATAACACCGCAGCGGGGGCGATGGTTTTGGTTTATCCTCGCAGCTACGAGGTGCAGCTGGAGAGCAGGGTGCGACGGCGAGGGCTGGGCAAGTTCCTCTTACAGATCCTCCAGCTGGTGGCTAACAGGTAACAACTGACGTTCTTTTTTGGGGTAAAAACAGGCGATTTTGGGGCCGCCCACCCCTGGC